CACACACACACACACACACACACACATATATATATATATATATTATATATATATATATATATAGGAGGAGAATGATATTTAATTTATTTGCGGATTGTATGTATACGAGTTTTATAATTTTCTGATTGTACCGATTATCTTTTATTTTTGTTTCTTTGTATTTTGCAGCTACTGAAGAAGACCCGAAGTGGGTCGAAACGTTTAGAATTTAATAAATGAGTTTGATTTGAGATCTCATTTTAATTTATTAATTTTGTGCATGTCATCCGCACAGGCTCCGATTGCCGTCGAGATTTTATTTTTATTGTAACACAATAATTTGAGCCGAGATTATCAGTTTTTTTTTTTTTATATATATATATTATATTAATTAAAGAATAAAAACACAATAGTTGGAAATACATTCAATGATAAAACGTTATATAATAAATCGATATATTTATAAATGCAAATACAAATACAAATACTTTAAGTAATAATTTTAATTTTAATGACTTATATTCTCTTAAAAATATTAAAATTTATAAATATCTAAATGTAATTTATATTATAAATGTATTTAAATGCAATTTATTAAACACTGTACAATTTTTATTTATTAATTTTATATACTAGTTTTAATTATTTTTATTATTAAAAAAATAAATAAAATTTTATTAAATTTATAATAAAAAAATCAACACATTTATAACCACTTCTACTCATTTTGGAAAAATATGATATAATATTATTCACAAAATAATGCTTTTTCGATTTAAAATATTCAAATATTACCGCTGCTAGGCAACAGTTCGCCATATTGTTGGTGTGCGAGTTCGCCATATTCATTACCACCTTTTTAGGAGAGTGTACTTACTTATACTGTATCTGAGCCATTCTCTCTACATGGCATATACTCGTAGCAAGATCCGTAGATGAACGACGGGAGGGGAAGGAAGGTCGTCGCATGAGTCGCCATTTTGGGACCACGAAGTTATGTGTGTTGTATGTCGGTGTGTGTCGTACGAAGAGTTAGTGAAAAAAACTATAGTTGAACAGCTGTTCGGTGGCTGGATTGGCGACGCCATTTTGGGGCTCATGCTGAAACAATGATGCGACGACCTTACTTCCCCTCCCGTCGTTCATCTACGGACCTTGACTCGTAGTAGTGATGTTTCCTTCTTCTTGCGCGTACCGCTTACACATGTGCCCTAATCTATATGCCATACGGTATCACGCGACATTTATTACATGCTCATTTAAACAAAACGTATAATAGTATAATATAACGGTTTGTTCGAAAACATAATTCCTACAGTGTCTAATAGACATCACGTCAGATATATTAAACGGATAAAGAGAGACTAAACGACCTTTATTATTTTGTCGTATATATTACTTAAATTATCGGTGTTTTTTTGTTGATTAATTGTGTTGTTTTTCTTAATAAAAAACATTTCAACAATCTTTTTTTCTAACATGTTTTTTTTGTGTAAGATCTTAAGCATAGATCAATCAAAGTCATGGTCAAATTCTATTTTATGTTTGCTAATTACCGATAAATTGCTGAAATGCATTTTAATATTATTGAAACGTTCTTTTATTCGTGTACTTAAATGCCTCTTTGTCTGTCCAATATACTCTCCAATATATTCTCTAATATGGTTTTGAAGAGGTGACACCGTTAGATAAGAAATAATTTTGCATGTTTCCAATATTTAACTGCCAATTCTTTCAAACAAAAATTCGACAAGCAGTACTAAGGAGTAAAAAGTTGTTATAAAGATTTTTAGATAATATTTGTTTTAAAATGACAGGTCCAGAATAGAGCAGCAAAAATTTTAGTTCTGTGGCCTTGAATTTTTCGACATCAGTAAGTGAACGAGTAGTACGTTGAAATTCACTGGAACTTGAGATAGGAGTCTCAATAACAAATAAACGTATCTTGGCAGGCTTTCTCAGCTGTGTGGTTGATTTTCTATGTATCCAATAAAGTAAAAGTTTCTTCATTATTCCCAAATAAACAAGATACATAAAATCGAGCACAAACGTAAATATCATATCAATTCTAGTTTTCATACTTAACAATGGTGATATTCCGATGTGGTGCTCTGGCTTAGATAGATTTCGAAACGATTCATCTGTTCTCTCTTCTACATCGTCTCCAAAAATAAGATAAATCATTCGATTTTCAATTCGTTCACCACGTACTGTACATTGTTCACATGCCCAGTATCCATCATGACCTTTAATATTCTTCAAGAATGCACGGGCAGGTCTATCACACACGAACGTTTTAATCTTGATGTTAAATTTTTGTTCTTTTGTTTCAAGCCCAATTTCATGCAATTGATCTATTTCATGCATAAATTTATGCAAATATTCTTCAAGATTTGTTGGTTTATGATTGTCAGAATAAATGACAATTGAGAATGGTTTATAAATATCTTTTTCGGAAAACACTTTACATAAAATAGGCCAGAATTGTTTAAAGCTTGATTTGAATAATTGGAGCCCACTAATTATTAATTCTATTACATTGTTTGTATGGAATTTAGAATTGATTATTGCTTGAAGTTGCTCTTTTATACCTCTTTTTATAAAATATGTGTGTGCATACTCACTAGAATCTTCATTAACTTGAATATTGTATTTGACACTTGCCGTCTTCAAAAAAGTTTTGGAATTTTTAGGTAAACTTAGAAGTAGTCGTACCCTTAATATAGCTAATAATTCGTTAAGTTTTGTATGAGGAATCGTTGGATTTCCTGATAAAGCCCAATTTTGAAGCTTCTCAATTTCAGTTGATTCAAAATTACCTTCATTAATTTCATCATCAACTTCAGTAAATTCATCCTCATTTATGCTAGCTTCTACTAAATCTATCTCGTCGTTTGTGTCAGATATTTCTGTCTCATACTCTTCTTCTTCTAAATTGTCTTCTGGATCAGCATGTGACGACGAGTAAAAATTATTCAAATTTGAAATTATTATGTCCAAGTTATCATTGTCCGAGAATTTATTTTCATTTTTATAAATATCTATAGTAATTTCTTCCTGTTCAATTTGATCTACTTGACTTTTGCTTGAGCCTGCTGCAACGTCTAAAATATTTAATTCTTCAAAAGAGCTTTCGTCATGTATAAATATTGATTGTAACGAATAATGCCGATTTTGACGAAATCTTTGACTACGTAAACGTCCCAACTTCTGCATTTTTTGCTTCTTGTTCTCCATTTTTATTTTAAAAATATTAACACATTAACACAGTTTATTAATACACGATATAAGATTAAATCAATGTCGATATATACTAACAAAATATGTAACCGCACGTATATATAAACACGACGTATATATTGAAAATAACAAAACAATTACACGGAATATATATTCAGAATGACCTATTTTTGAATAACCCCACTTAATCTCATCATATCGTTCAGTCTTGTTTACAACATGTGTTCAATTTTTTTATAATTGTTAAATATAATTAATATTAATGTAATTAGTATATTTAAATTATATAATGTTTTTCATTGCCAATATTTTTGAAAAAATTGATTATTTAAAATTATATATATATACATACATATATATATATATATATATATATATATATATATATACAGGGTGATTCAGGAGGAAAGGTAAAGATTTTAATGGGTGATAGTATAGGCAAATGCGAACAAAAAATGTCCTATTAACATGTGTCTTATTTTTCGAATTATGAATACTGCTGCTCTCATAAAAGAACGTCAAGATGACCTCAGAAGAGCTACACGTAGTACAGTCAAAAGAATTAGAAAGTGTATTGAAGTCGGAGGTGGCATTTTTAAAAATCAACTTTGAACTTAGTCATTTGCGTCTACTTTTGTTTGTGCCTTTGACTTTTTTCTGCTGTGAGTGGTTTATTGTAACCAATAAAAATAAGACACATGTTAATAGGACATTTTTGTTCGCATTTGCCTATACTATCACCCACTAAAATCTTTACCTTTCCTCCTGAATCACCCTGTATATATATATAATTGCATTATGTGTATTATTGCAATATATATATATATATATATATATTGCAATAATACACATAAAAACAATAATGCCGTATCTAATCCTTATAAGGCGATCTGATCCGATAAAATTCCGGCATATTTATCAACGGATGCCATATCTAGACCTGATACGGACCTAATCAGGTAAAATTGCGGCATATTTTTATAAATACATCATATTTACGCCTTATGCGGTCCTGATAAAGTAAATTTATGGCAGCCTTATTTAAGGATACCGTTTCTGAGCCTCACTCGGACCTTATCTGACAGCAGGTATGCCTGATAAATTTTCTACTCGGGTAATTTCAATGTGTCGTATTTCTTTTATGTAAATAATTTTAATTCACCAAGTTTCTATTATATAAATAATTTTAATTTGCCAATTTCTATCGCGTCGGAATATTTTTTTAAAATTGTCTCCGGGACAGTGTAATTAATTATTTCGCGTCGGGATACTTTTTTCAAATTGTCTTTGGGACAAATTATATACATAATAAAAATAAAGAATTAATTTTATGTACAAAATAAAAATTCGACGAATTAAAATTATGTACATAGGTATAAATTCGGCAGATTTCTATTATATACATAATTTTAATTTGTCGAATTTCCATTATGTATATTATTTTAATACTTGAATTTATAATCTTTTTATAATTCGCTGAATTTCTATTATGTACATAATTTTATTTTTGAATTTTTATTATATTTTAAATTTTGATTCACCGAATTTTTACTATGTACAATACATAAGTATTTTTGAATTTCTATTATGTTATAATTTTAATTCGCCGAATTTCTATTATGTACATAATTTCAATTGGCCAAATTTCTATTAGGTACAATTACAGTTATTTACATAATATGTAGAAATAGGGTGAATTAGACTTATGTGCATAATAGAAATTCAAGAATTAAAATTATGTATATAATTAAAATTATGTACACTCACAGAAAAAAAGTTTGTTTAACGCGCGCGAAGCGCGTGCTTATATTATCTAAAAATAACTTTTGGTCCTCCTATTTCTTCTCTTGCCTTGTGACATTATATTACATACTCTCTCTCCTCCTACCATGTCCCTGCCTCTCTTGGTTCTGTTCACTCGGAGATTACATTAGTATTTCTATACTATTTTTAAGATATTATTTTATCAAAATATTAAAATATTTCTAATCTATTGAAATAAAATTAGATATATACTTATGCTTGATGCATAATGCGACAAATTTTCAGTGACATATTCGTAAGCGGACCTGAGTGGTGTAAATGCTTCTCCAAGGCCGAACGTCCATGTGTCGCAGTGCGTAAACGATCATCGCCGGATTCTGCACCTGCATGCGATTCGCGAGGATATTATCGTAGTACTCAATGTCATCGAGGCCTTGGCCTTTGTTGGTGCGTCGACCCGCACGGCGTTGAGTTTGCTGGTACCAGAACACGCGGTACAAAGCCTGATTGCGGTATGTTTTATATTAGTACTTACAATTATACGGTAAAAGTATTGAAATATAAAATAATAAAAATAAAAACAATAGTATAATTACTAAAAAAATATCTAAAGAAATGGGCCAACGTAACGAGCAAGTAAAAATATTCAATATTTATTACGAACTTACATATTTATTGACATATAAAAATAAGATAAAATAAAAATAATGATAAAACTAGACATTAAAATTCCAAATAAAAATATTAACTAAAAATAATGTAAAAATCAAAAGACGTTGACAAATAGTATAATTTTTTAATTCTAAGAATTTTGGATATGTACGAGGGCAGTCCGATAAGTACTTACAATTAGCCTCATCGCCCGATGGTGCCAGTATCGCAAGAGAGTTTTACTATCGTGTAGTACATTCTCGTAGACGGCTACTGTCAAAATTTCAGCCGAATTGGACTCGTAGTTTTGTTTTGACTGCGTGTGGAAGCGGGCGTGTCCGCGGATTTTAGAAAAATGGAAAAAGAGCAATATCGGTCGGTGATTCGATTCTTGTTTTTTGAAGGGAAATCGATTCTTCATTTCGACATCTTTGATTTCGCTGCGCGATTTCTCTTCCAAAAACAAGAATCGAATCACCGACCGATATTGCTCTTTTTCCATTTTTCTAAAATCCGCGGACACGCCCGCTTTCCACACGTGGTCAAAACAAAACTACAAGTCCGATTCGGCTGAAATTTTGACAGTAGCCGTCTACGAGAATGTACTACACGATAGTAAAACTCTCTTGCGATACTGACACCATCGGGCGATGAGGCTAAGTACTTATCGGACTGCCCTCGTAATTGTACATTTAAATATTAATTTGTTAAAAACGAAAATAGTGTATTTTATATTATAATTTGATTTTGTTATTTCTTGCCACAATTTTTAAAAATTGAAAACGAAATATTTTGATAATATAATATATATATATATATATATATATATATAGTACTGGGTACAAATGTGTATATACATATATAATATATATACACACACGCTGGGTATATATATATATATATATATATATATTTATACCTGTATATATATATATATATAGTATATGCATTTGTGCCTCAGAACAAATAAATTGTCTTACAGACACGATTGTAAACAAGATTAGCAGCGGTGGACTCAAGACCAACAGTGTAGATCTTGATGACGATGAAGATGGTGATACCGATTCTGCTCAGGATCTTGAAGGCTCGGCTGATCAACCCCTAGATTTTTAGATTATTAGGGAGTAGCGATCAGTAAAAAAATAGAAGTACAGCAGCTTGACCGATATAAGTAAAAATCAACCATACCGTCAAAGAAATGCGTAAAATGATGCGCGCATCCAGTCCATGTCGTCCACTGGCCTCGAGAATAGCCGTTGTAATCGGGATGTCCTCCATGTCATCGGATCATCTGTCGATCCTACTGAGATATCCATGCGTGATAAACAAAACGTAAGCCTAAATTAATTCCGAGTACAACGAAAAACACGACGATCATTAATTATGGGAAAGTCGGATCTGAAGCGAGTCGCGCTGGAATACAGCGATTGTTGAATTGTAACGACTTCAATCCTCCTTCATTCTAGTTAGAAAATCTCAACGTCATCGACGTTAATGTAGCAAATGTCTTGCCTGTCGTAATAATCGCGCATACATCCGATAAGTGGCATTTGCAAACAAGTCTATGTAAGTCATAGAGTTTATATATCTAGAAGCAGGGTTGGGAAAGTTACTTTCTAAAAGTAACTAGTTACAGTTACAGTTATTTCATTGAAAAAGTAATTAGTTACAATTACAGGTTACCGATTTTAAAAAATAACTCGTTACAGTTATAGTTACTCAAAAAGTAACGAGTCGTTACTTTTCAGTTACTTTTTAAAAATAATTATACATTATTTTAAATATAAGGAGCTTACATTTTATGCACAATCACAGTCAAGTATTTAAAAAATTTTTTAATGTAATAATTGATTGATTTGCTTGCGACTTTGCGATTACAGTAAAACCTCGTTTATCCAAGGTAATGTGGGGAAGAGGTACCTCGGATAAGCGAAAACTCGGATAACATGGAATAAATAAAAAAATTCGAAAGCTTCCCTTATTTTTGGTATATTTAAAATGGTAACAAGAGAATTTAACCACATTAACATATGAAAATGAAAAATTAACGAACGTGGATTAATTTTTCGCGTAACAAGCATTACATACTACAAACTTACATATTACAAACGTGGTTTAAGAAAGTCAGTGATAGAACACTGCTTCAACCTGCTCATTCGTTTTTTAGCTGCAATATCTCGTCATCGTTTCATCAATAAGAGATCACTTGCAGTACTTTCCGGCTGTTCCTCGATATATTTGAGAGCTAGTTCAAGCGCATTTAATCCTTCTTCGTGGTTGATTACCGGACTTTCTTCCGCCTCGCCGTCTTCTATATCATCCGCGATCTCTTCTCCAGAATTTACGAGTTGGCCAATTTCGTCGTCTGTAAGTTCTTCTTCACATCGTCACCATGAACCCATTCCTCAGTATCGTTTCTTTTGACGTTTTCACAATCAGGAATCTGCTCCATGATGCTATGCAGGTCTATATTGTCTGCTATTTCATCGCTTTGATTGTTAGAACACAAGATTTTTGCCCATGATCTTTCAAGCCTAAGCCTTTGGACAGCATCCCAAGCTTGAACTGACCAGTAAATAACACTTTTCATATTTAATATAATTTGTAAAAGCTCTTTAAAAAATTAATCAACAATTAAAAGGCAATAAGAGCTAATTAAATTCTATCAATTAGTAATTTATTTGTGAAAGAAAGTATAACATATTAAATAACAGACAAAAATTAAAATAAATTCGTTCGAACGTTTCGGTTGTCTTTTCCAACCTTCTTCAGCGTATACAATTAAAAATAGAGGTTAATAAAATTTTACAATAAATTACTTATAAATGTCATTATACTAAAAATATACAGATTTAAGATATTTTATTTTTAATTAAGCGAAAGCAACGCATTTGTAAAGCATGAGCATATAAACTATTCTTCAAAACATCATTATATGTGATTGTCGCGAAACGGATCTCTCCCTAATTGTTCTGTTAGGAAGTCGGTTGCGAATCTCGATAACTGCCATTGTTAATATGTCTATAAAATCATTATGTACGAAAATTAACAATGCAGATAAATAAAAGTAAAAAATAGACTTACAGTTAAATCAAGTGAGATGAAATCTTTGACGTGAACGCTTTCAGATGTTGATTGCTCAAGCTTGCTATAACGAATGGTTCTAAACTCTCAAAAAGACGACCGCAAAGTGAGAAAAATAGTTCGTTGTTTATGTTTTTTTAACTTTCAAATTTTAGGTAGTCTATGTATAATATCGTCATAAATTATTGGCAAGCCATCTGTCTGTTTTTAAATTGAGACTGTTATTTTGTCTTTTTATAAATATCATTTCTGAAATTAATCTTTTGTTATAAAGAGAGAGAGAGAGAGAGAGAGAGAGAGAGAGAGAGTGATTCTTTATCAAGTATTTTTACATCGTCCCAACAAAATTCATGATTATATTTTAATCTATGGTCAGTGATTACAGATTTTTTTACATTCCTGTGTATATTAGATCGATGTTCAAATATTCTAGTAGATAATTTCCTACTAGTCTGACCAACATACGACGCATTACACTCTTTACAATCTATTTTATATATCACATTGGTGTTTGAACACTTAGGAATAGGATCTTTGTGTACTTTTATGTATTTATTCAATTTGTTAGAACTTATATTTATTGCTAGCAAACACTCTTTAAAGGTACTACCCGCGGCGCTTTTTTCCAGAATTTCTTGCAACAAAAAACGTCGATAATAACGTTTGAAAGTCTCGAGTACGCCTTGATCTATTGGTTGTCCAATGGAGGTCACATTCGGTGGAAAAAATTTTACAATTATATTTTCACTTCTGAGAACCGACTCGTTCGAGTGTGATGGAGCGTTGTCGAGTAACAAAATAGCTTTTCTTGGAAGACCATTTTTGTTCAAAAATCTCTTAACCGAAGGGACGAATTGTTCGAAAAACCATTTTTGGAAAAGATCGCGACTCATCCAAGCACTCTTTTGATGCGCGTAGTAAACTGGCAAGGCTTCCGGTTTGATGTGTTTAATTGCTCTCGGTTTAGCCGATTTCCCGATACACATCAACGGAAGTTTGTGTGTACCGGACGCGTTACTGCATGCTAAAATGCTGACCCTTTTTTTGTTCTTTTTGTACCCCGGAGCAACCGCTTCTTCTCGCGAGGCCAATGTTTTAGAAGGCATCATTCGAAAATTCAGACCAATCTCGTCGCAGTTATAAATTTGATCCCGCAAGTATCCCTCTTCCTCTACAAGCTTATTAAATTCTTCTTTAAATTCATTCAATCCGCCTTTATCAGCTGACATTTTTTCGCCACAGATGCTTAACTGACGAATAGCGTGTCTTTTCTTCCATCTGTCGAGCCATCCGCAACTTGCCGTAAAAGTTTCGCTTTCATCGGAAAACTGCTTTGCAAGCATCATGGCCTTTGCCTGTAAAATGGAGCCTGAAGAGGGAAAAACGATATTGTATCGATGACGAAATCTTCAAACTCCGGGGTGTGCTTACCTGATACTGGCAATCCCTTTTCTCTCATTTGAGTGAACCATAGAAATAAAGCTTTATCAACTTTATCATACTCTACCGGTTTCATCGTTTTATGACTAGTCATCGCACCGCCCGATTTTATTGTGAATTGCTCTAAATTAGATCGATTTCGACGCCAATCGCCAACGGTGGTCTCTCCAACACCATAATCAGCCGCGACATTGCGAATGATTTCTCCTCTATCCAATTTTCTAATTGCTTCCAACTTTTTCTCTACACTCACGACGACTTTTTTTCGCTTCTGCGACATATGTATGTATGTACTCGATGTTTTTTCATTGACTGTTGAAGCCCAACTGTTAAATTCTATCTCACAACCGCGGAGAACAAAGCGTGTACTACTAACAAGCTCGTGCGTGTTTAAACAAAAAAGTAGCAATCGCAAACTATGTATGTTGTACTTCGCGCGCATTGCATAGCAGCGAAGCGTCATCCGTTTCATCCGAGTTTTTCCGTATTATCCGAGCACACAGCTCGGTTAACGCGGAGTGCTCGGATAACGCGGAGACTCGGTTGATCGAAGACCGGATAAACGAGGTTTTACTGTACCATCAATGTATAAACTCAAGGAAAACAGAAAAATCAAAATGATGTCAATTTGATGTTATATTGATTAAATTTATGTCATTTTTTGGTCAATATTTAATCAATATGATGTTAAATTGACATAATTTTGACCTTCTGTTCTCCTTGGGGAATGACCTTTATATACAACAGTAACAATAGTTAGTAACTTACTAAATGGTAATTGCAAAGTCGCAAGCAAATCAACCAATTATTACATTTAAAAATTTTTTTAAATACTTGACTGTGATTGGTCGATCTTAATTATGTATTATATTATTTTATGTACACTAAATATATATGAGAATTGTAGGTAAAAGATTAAATCATATGAAGATTTATATGTTACTGTTATCAGAATTTAATAACAATATAATGGCTACCATATTTAATACTACGCTACGATACTTTTAGCGCATGTTTCCAAAAAAGTAACTCATAAAGTAACTGTTAAAATAGTTACTAGTTACCAAAAAATGTAACTAACAATAAGTTACAGTTACAGTTACAGATGGAGAAAAGTAACGAAGTTAAGTTATAGTTACCGAAAAAAGGTAACTGTAACTGTAACTTCGTTACAAGTAACTCGTTACTTCCCAACCCTGTCTAGAAGTAACTTTCCTTGTAGATAAATAGATAAATAGATAAAGAAAAAGGGTGAGAAGAGGGGAAGGGAGGGAAAAGTGAGAAAGAGGTATTTTAATTGTGTAACCGTAAGGCCACAAAGAAATCAATTACAATCAAATATTTTTATAAGTATAGTAAGAATGTTTGACTGTAATTGATAGATTTGTTTATGATCTTACGGTAACTCAAATTTTCACGTGTAATAATCTTTACAGAATCAAGGTTTCTTGGAAGTGTCTTTTATTAGAATTGAATAACCAACATAACAAAATGAAAGTTTAAAAGTCGACAGGAGAGACTATGAAGACCTCTGGCGGTTGATTCTGGAAACTATGGATTCGTAATTTTTGTATTATGGTGTCAAAATACAAGAAGACAATCTCAATAAAATTATGATATTTGTAATTAACAGCATTTGTAGGGGATTAAAAAGCAATTTTCTTGTAAAAAGTTCAAAATAAAATTTGAAACACAAAAAATAGATTTATATAAAAATTGAAGTAGTTCTATTTAAAAATATAACTAATCTTCAAATAATCTTGAAAAACTCTTAGTTTAGAAAAATAACATCAATTTCATTCCCCCTCGAAATCCTTTGCTTAAACCTTTATTTGTATTGCGCTTAATTTCAAGGATATTTGTTTGGGGAAATTGAAATAAAACACTCTGATATGTTCATACATACATACGTCTGCATGATTATAAATTATACGTGCAATTGAATATTATATGAGAAAGAGAATAATAATAAAATAAAATAACTGACAGAGTAAATGAATGCAGTACCTAAGAATAGGTATCTATTAGACTTTGTGATTTATTGCTATTTTGTAGTGATTATGAATTTCTCTTTGAAATTGTCTTTTTACAGTAATTATTATGATTTTTCTTCGATTATGCCAATTTTGCTGTGCATCTGTTGTTATAAAAATACTGATATAGTATGAAAGAATAAATGAATAATGATTTAGTACATTATATATTTAGCCTGTGCTAAAAACTTAAGTTCAAATCTAAAAACATCGAGAATTTTTCTTATAATAAAATTTATACATATAAATAAATATAAAAAATATTAAATATATTTTCGTAAAAGCAATTATAATTTAAGAAAAGAATTAAAATATTAAAATATTAATAATTTATAATAATAGTGATTATATTAATTTATTACAGTATACATTAATTTATTCACAAAATAAATTTTTTTACACATATATAATGTGTGTGTGTGTGTGTGTGTGTGTACGCGCGCGTGTGTGCGTGTAGTTAAAATTATAAAATGATATTTTTTTCAATATTTTTTAAGATTTTCTCTTAAATTAATCAGGTTTACAAAAAATATATTTAATAATTTTATATATTCACATATAATTTATTATTAAAAAATTTTGTTGATGCTTATGAATTTGAACTTGAATTTTTAGTAGGAGACTAAATATTATTTTATATTACTTTAATTTTTACTGAAGTAATATATTATTCTTATAAAATACATATTTTCACACTATAGGGTACTTATACAATAAATGTTCTTACATATTTATCGATATAATCAAAGAGAAATTAAGATAACATTAATTTATAAATATGTGATCTGAAAGATAATCTCAAACAAGAACTAAAAACTGTCCTCTCTTTATTGTGCTGATGGTATATAAATATTGATAAAAAAGCAATAAATTACTAACAAGGGGACACTACATCCAGTACATCGAGAATCGGGATGCAGATTTTTTGGTGATTCTAGAGGCCAAAAATATATACGTGTCTTAGCGTTTTGTCGAATGCTTCGTGGTTTTCGAGTTAAAAATTTTGTAAATCGAAAAGTGCAGCAGCAATTAAGAACTAACTCGTTAGGTCGTAAGTTCGATTCCATGTCTCGTAACTTCTTTTTGTTTTAACTTGCTAGTTTTGAAAAAATCTATTGAAAATAATAAAATAGTAATAAAATTTTAAAATAAATAAAATTTAAATAATATATGCATATATATAATCTATAATAAATAATAAATATAATTTAAATAAATAAATAAATATATTTAAACAATTACATTTTTTCAAAACTAGCAAGTTAAAATAAAAAATATGTTATGAAACACGGAATCAAACTTGCGATCTACGAGTTAGCTCTTAATCGCTGCTGCACTTTTCGATTTGAAAAAATTTTTTAACTCGAAAACCACGGAGCATTCAACAAAACTCCAAGACACGTATATTTTTTTTGACCTCTAGAATCACTAAAAAAATCGGCATCCCGATTCTCAATGTCCTAGATGTAGTATCCCCTTGTAAGTCTAATAAGACCGTGGTCTAATATAAATACCCGCCCTATAAGCGCATGATATTATTTAATATTTAAGCAATATTCTAGGCATATTTTTAGAATATTTAATATTCTAAGAATATGCCTAGAATATTAAATAATATCATGCTTATAGGGCGTGTCTTACATATTAGTTCATTCCGTATATGTGTATAAGTAAATATAAAATTTACAAAAAATGTATGCCTATTGATATTGTTATTCGGAATCTGCCTGGTATTCATCCTGTCGACCCTTAATATTTTTTTTCTAAATATTGTCTTTAGATATGTCGAAATACAAACACAACGATCGTAGCGATATGATCATTAAAAGTTACAGAATCGCAATTTAGATATATAAACTCTATGACACAAATAGATTTCGTGCAATCCTAATTCCGTGCAATATCCAATAGAGTCCATATAGGGAATACGCAGAGATGTGCAAAACGGGTGACCAAACCTATTTGAAATAAAAAATGCAAAACACTTGGAACTTTTCTACTAGAAAGTGTAAAATGCAAAATGCTTTTTAGACACCTATTTAAAATAGGAAATGAAAAGTAGGCATTTTTATAAAATAGTTATTTTAAATAAAATTACTTTTTTAAATAATTATATTCTTATAAATTTAAATTCTTCAAATTAATTCATATTTAAATTCTTATTGTATATTATTTATATTCTTTATTATTACGCTCGAATTCTTATTTATTTTAATATAAACTTGAATTACAAAAATTGAATTATACATATGGGAAAATTTATAAAAAATTTACCTATATTGTTTACAGACATTCAGTTAGTCTTTTAAAATGACATTTTAATTGCAATGCTCTTTAAAAGTGCAAAAGTTCTCAGAAGTGCTGTCCGGAAAATAAGTTTTTAAAGAGGAAATTTTTCATTTTTTATCTACAAGGTTTCATAATTAGAACCAGTAATGTTAATAAAGACGTGATACTAGTGGCATCATTGCGTTGTACATACATATTATTGATATCGATTAATTTTTATTTGCAAGAAATATGCATTTGAAATGGAAAATGCATAATGAAAACTATTTTAAATGAAAATGTAAAATAGTGTTGGAAAAAAATGTATGTTGAATACAAAATAGCATTTCGCATTTTGTATTTCCATTTTAAATAATATGCTATCCATTTTCCATTTCAAATGCTATATAATCTATTTCAAATAATGCACATCTGTGGAAATATGCAAACATGCCCGAAAGTATGTGTGGGTGTGTGAGGGTTGCTGGATAAGCGAAAAAGGTAGGAAATTCTCCGCTGCAAATCGCACTATACAGATCATGGGATTACCTTTGTGCCTATCGAGGTACCTTCACGCACAAAATCTATAAATAATAATATAATTACTTATCATTTACACATACAAAACAAATGAGATTCGTGAAATGAGAAAAAGGAGAAGATTGACTCTGGATGCAAAAAATAGAACGGAGTAATTTTCATCGGAATCCGAAGACAAGTCAGAAAGGTTTCCATATTTTATTTTTACAAAAGCGTTTACATAATTTATAAAAATATATAAACTTATATTACTTTTCAATATAGTCCTTTTCTTCATGGAGGCATTTGATTGAAACCTAGGTAGAAAACCCATAAATCAAAAAGTGGGATCATGATTAAAAAAGTCATTTTTGCACTTTATTATTATTTAATACGTTTATTTATAACTCAAGTTCCATTCTTTAGAGGAATAACTGTGATTAGCCAATCTTAGAACTGCGGAGGTCATTAAACTTGATTAACAATAAGAATGACATTTGGTTATGTGTAAATGTTTAACTCATTGACTCATTGACATTTCAGTTGAATGAAATGCAAAAGAATGAGCAGTACAGAAAGAAGTGCACTTTCTACCAATAGGTTTTTGATTTATACATTACCGTCAAAAAGTTCAAAATCAAAAAATTTATAAAATTAATTTATCATTTCTACCCAAAAAAACAATGCTAACTATTTTTATTTTTATAGTGTTATAATATGATCTTATATTAATACTAAAAAAAAACAATTAACGAAATGTCATATTTTAAAGATTAATTTTGATTTTGTATTTTTTTCGCGATCTTTATTATTTATTACTTTGATCTTAAACTTTTTGACGGTAGTGTAGATCTTTCGCGTTGATAAATAAAGAGGCTAAATAAAAAAAGGATTATGTTGAAAAGTAGTATCAGAATATATATTTTATGAAATATGTCAGTACTTCTTTTATAAAAGTGAAGTATTAAAAAAATTAATTATAGTTGGCTACTTTTTCATTTTTCCTCATAAAAGTTATACATATAACAATTTAAGGATACAAGTGGACGCTTTTACGCATTGATTTTTAACATCTTTATTCATAATATTTAACGTAAAAATATGATAAAATGTGTAATACTCAAAACGTATGATTTGCGTATGGCAGTCAAAATCAAGTTAAATTTTTTTTTTTTTTTTTTGAGAGAGAGAGAGAGAACGAGAGCGTGTGAGAGAGCGTGAGAGAAAAAATAGAACTATTGTAATAGTGTCACGTTTTGCATATGCTGAAACTTACTTAATCCATACGAAATCAGTAGATTTTCGTAGCTTCCTTCCACTTCACTTTTGGCTATGTTTTAAACGTAATATAGAAAATCTTGCCATTATTTATTACATTTTTGCGATCGGCTTACAGAGAACATTGTTTTATTCTTCTTTTTTTCATAGTCCTCTTGCATGATGAAGATTAGTGTAAAATATACGGAATAAAAAACGACTTATATTTCACGTATTTGTTAACAAACTACTTAATATGAAATGCAGTTCAATCACGACTGTATAAGAGTAAGACGTCGAGTTAATTATTAAGAGATTGCTTATAAAGAATTGCTTATAGAGATATATAACGTGGAATATAATATTATTATTCTATTATATATTGTGCAATTCAATTCGCAGAAAGATTACAATTCCTTACATCACAATCAAAGCAACATTAATCATATATGATGCTGAGAGGTTGTTTTCTATGAAATTAAAAAAAATATTTGACGTGATTCGTCTGCATTTACTGTAATTATAAGCATTTTTACTTACAACTTTTACTTAAAGTATATGTTACACATCGTAGATATTAGAGTAACATGTAATCTGTAGGAAAAAAAGTCAATGTGATTATGTGAATATGCCTCTGGTATTAGAAGGCAATTTGCGTAGAGATACATAGTTAATGGAAATTATACGTCTCATTTAGAAGGAAAACAAAATTTCATTTTGCAAGCCTAATGTATTTCACTTTGATATTCCTTCTATAAAATATTCAGGGAAATTATTATACAAATCATGTTAATAAGTGACAAAATAGTATATACTGAAAATTTTTTAGTGATACATAAAATATTTTATTTTTTCTGATCAATTTCCATTTTATTCTATATATTGTGGCAAATTTTCTATGTATAATAATATTATGATTTTAGTAGTCTATTTTTATAAATTGAATTTCTTCTTTATTTAAAGAATATGGTAGTCATTGTCAATTAATTCCTAATTTTAATTCTGGGTCCTCGCCATGGTCATGTTGGATTGTGACATCAGAAGCGAGAAAACACGATGAAAATTCTTACAATTAGATGCCATTTTTAAATGAAAAGATATTTCAATGAAATGGCTTTAGCACACTTATAAAATACTTCGAAAACTATTCTTTTCCCTTGACAGTAAATCGACAATCATAAAATAATCATGAAATCAAAATTGTCGAAATGACTGCGTATCGGCTAAGATCAGACGGACTAGGTCTCATTTTACAACTGTTGATTGATTAAAGGGAAGAAGATAGTATTCGAAGTATTTTAAGCTAAAGCCATCTGCAGTGCTGTTTCACCAAAATATCTTTTTATTTCGAAATGACATCTAAGAATTTTTAACGCGTTTTTTCACTTCTGACGTTACAATCTAACATAGCGAAAACCCAGGAGCCTTAATAGGCAAATGTTAAATTTGTGCACTGAAATATGTAGACAATGCTTCAAAGTATATCTACAATTTACAATTTTAAGCGGTAGACTTCGTTTGTAATGAGCTTTAATATATATTTCTTTCTGCATCAAATGCAATCTACACATTCCACTTGACTTATCGACTTAGATTAATTAACATAATTAAAAGCGAACGTAGTTTTATCGAATCTTTTTTGTGCATATTGTATATATATATAATTATATACAATTGAAAAATTGTTAGTGATCTTTGTATCATGATTTTTGTAAGGTATGCACTTGATCCAAACGTAAGAAATTTATACGTCATTCAAGCGCTACCATAAATATCTCACTTAATTGTATATGTGGCTGTAAGAATTCTTTATGAATAAAGATTGTTGTAGAAATTGAGGAAATATTTTCTTCAGAGTTTAATATAGTAAGTATAAAATATATTTGTTTTCAAAGATTCAATACAGATATGTAATAAAATATTGAAAAAATATATTTCGTATATAGATATATGTATTCAATGTATTTGGCATCTTTTCTTTATATAAATTGTGAAGGAGACACACACATAAATTTCAATAGACCGTAGTTTGTTGCACAAAATACAAAATATGTATTAATATTTGAGAATGGCTCTCAAACTGCAACAAAAAATATATTATCATCACAAATCTGATAATCGTAATAAGAAATAAGAAGTCATAATTTTATGCATTTTAATTTAATATACACTTATACTAAACTCAAATTTTAATATACATAGTAACTTTTTGAAAACTTACCAATTTCCTGAATGCAACAAATCGAAACCTTCATTGATTTTTTCAAATGGAAAACTATGCGTAATAAATTCATCAAGAATCAATTCTTTTGATAGATATTCATTTACTAATTTTGGTACACTTTCCTTTGATTTCCATCCGCCAAATGCAGAACCTTTCCACACTCGTCCTGTAACCAATTGGAATGGTCTAGTACTGATTTCTTGCCCACTTGCAGCTACTCCTATTATTACGGATGTACCCCATCCTTTGTGGCAAGATTCTAATGCAGCTCTCTAAAAAAAATCAATTTTAGAAAAAAGCAATTTTTTAGAATAAAACTATTGTGTGTGAAGCAAAATTTTTAAAACATTAATATATACCATAGTGTTTACATTTCCAATACATTCAAAGGTATAATCTAATCCACCATCAGTCATCTCGATTAACACTTGTTGAATAGGTTTATCATAATTTTTTGGATTGACAAATTCTGTGCATCCAAAAATTTTAGCTATAAAGCAAAAATACAATATTTATAAATTTTTATTATATGTATTGTATCTTACAAAAAAATGCAGGTACATTTGAACATTAATTTTTATCAAAAGTTTAATTATTGCATTATATGATTTTGTTAAATAAATTTACCTTGCTCAAATTTGGCTGGATTAATATCTATTCCAATAATACGAGATGCACCAGCTTTTTTACAACCAAATGCTACAGCAAGACCGACAGCTCCTAAACCCCATATAGCACAAGTACTTCCAAGCTCTACCTTTGCAGTATTTAATGCTGCACCATAGCCTGTAGATACTCCACAACCTAACAGGCATATTTTGTCCAATGGTGCTGTAGGATTAACCTACAATATTTTTAATAATAATATGTGCCATATAGCCAAGATAGGATAGGCTGAAGGCACTAAGTTCTCCAACCGGGGAACGACACAACCAAAAAAAAAAAAATTAATAATAATATATTAAATTTTTGCTGTATTTTTTAAAAATATTAATATAAATAAATAATATATTATAAATACCTTAGCAAGAGAAATGTCAACTACCACTGTATATTCAGAAAAGGTAGAACAACCCATAAAATGTGCAATTGTTTGTTCTTTACATGTAAAGCGAGATGTACCATCAGGCATTAACCCTTTACCTTGAGTTTCGCGAATTTTGCTGCATAAATTTGTTTTTGATGATTTGCAGAATTTACAATTATTACATTGTGGAATATAAAGTGGTATAACATGATCGCCTGCAAATATTTGTATAACAAAATATTAACTGAATAAAATCAACATATAGAAATAAAGATTGATTATTATTTATAATATATAAACAAATTCTTTATAACTTTTTAATCAAGTTTACCTGGTTGAAACTCAGTGACACCCTCTCCAACACTTTCTACAATGCCACTACCTTCATGACCAAGTATACAAGGAAATATTCCTTCTGGATCTAAGCCATCAAGAGTGTAAGCATCTGTATGACAAAGTGCTACAGCTACTATTTTAATTCGAACTTCATGTGCCTTTGGTGGTGCTACTTCGACTTCTTCTAAAGATAAAGGCTCCTTCTGTTTCCATGCTACTGCAGCTTTACATTTGATAACCTAAAACAATAAAAAGTTACATTAATAAAATAAATTAAAATTATATTTCTAATGATTATTTTAATATTTTTAATTAATGTGTGTGTATTGAATCATATATATATATTATATATATATATATATATATATATATATATATATATATATATATATATATATATGATAATATACACATATACACACAATTGTCATCTGAAATAATTTATTATTCATTGTTTTTAGAAAAATCTATTTTATATGAAATATTCTTTTCATTTCTTTTAACTTCTGTGCTAGTAGAACAATTACAATCTGGAGTATTAGTATTAATTTCTTTATTTCTTTATAAACAATTCATATTTGCTAACTCAATGTTAAATTTATTTGAAATTATGAAAATTTACTTAAAATTACTTGAGTAATTTTAAAACAATATTATTAAATTATAATAAGAAAATAATAAATCACATAATAATAAAATGTGATACATGACTGTGCAAAAAGTTGATATGATATGCTGGTTTGATAAGTAACATCATAAATAACAAAAAATGCTGTGCATGTAGTAGCTTTCTACAAGGACACATGCTAATCGACACTATCCATTACATCATACTGTTGAAAATTTACTTAAAACTTTTATAAGAAATTAACAGTTTTAGAAATATGAGATGTTTTTGCAGAAAAAACATATAGAATACATGAATAAAGCAACTAAGTTGCTGTTTCAGTATTCATATACTTTGAAGACAGTCATTTCAAGGTCACTTAGCTACAAATCATTAAATTCACTTCTTTATTGGCTATAATACAGTACTAAAAAAAATTAGTCTTTTTTTACTAGAATATCTTCATAAAATATAATTACTTATTAAAATATAAACATTATGAGAAAGAAGTGAATGTTAAATAATGATTACACATGATATGTTAATAAAACAAAAACGAAAAAAAACCACAAATTAACACAGATAAAGCATACAAATTAACATAAATTAAATTAGTACCTTTTTAGCCGTATCTGACATTATCGTTTCTTAAATTTATCACACACTTATTTAATTAAACTGCGCCACGGTCTAAACTCCACTTTAAGAGTCGACAGGAGACTCGGCCAGACCACAGGTTAAAGCGGGGAGCACACACTTTTGCATAGGCGCATAAGCGTAAACATGAGAATCTTGATTGGTCTATAAAGCGGGGAGCACACACTCTTGCATAAGCGCACAAGCATATGCATAAGAAATTCGATTGGTTGAATTTGTTATGCATACGTTTATAGACCAATCAAGATTCTCATGTTTACGCTTATGCACCTATGCAAAAGTGTGTGCTCCCCGCTTAAACGTATGCATAAGAAATTCAACCAATCAAATTTCTTATGCATATGTTTATGCGCTTATGCAAGAGTGTGTGCTCCCCGCTTAAGGGTCGACAGGTCGTCCGGCCAGACTCCGAATTGATGTTGGAGACTTCGCGCGGTGACAACGCGAAACTCTGATTTCAGTGTTGCCAACGCCGAGAAACCAATTCTCGGGTTTTATGTAGTGGTGCATGTCTGTACACGTACATACACCATTGCATTGCTCACGCGGACGCATCGTAGAGAGACAAGGACAGATAATCACGTGTTCTTCTTGTTCCTCTACCGTGCCGGTATACGCGAAATGCGGCCAGGGGGTCGATTGTGTAACTTTTTCTAAAGTGAAAACGTGAAAAGTGAAAAATTTCCACCAATCACGCATTGATTTTAAGATAAAATCGATGTGTGATTGGAAGAAATTTTTCACTTTTCACATTTTTACTTTAGAAAAAATTACACAATCGACCCCCTGAAAACGCTTTCTGGACTTCCGTAACAGAAGGCAGTAGCGTAGCATTTTGTAAATTTTATATTATATATAATATATATATATTATATATATTATATATTATATATATATATATATATATATATATATATATATATATATATATATTATATAGAGATATGTTGACTTCCGTTTCCGGTGCAAACGCGTTATACACGTGGGGTGCGTTCGTAAACCTTACCCGCTGAGGTATAGGTTAACTTGACGGGGACTAGTCAGTGAACGTGTAGGGACACATCAATCTTCAAGGACTACCTAAAGTTTATGAACGATCTTGAGGTAAAACGATCGCGTAATATAAATTTGACAAATATAATTATCATCATATTATTTTGAATAATTATCTTCATCACTATGTTTATTTGTAGAATTCTAATGTAGATGAAATTTAATCTTAGTTTAATTTACTTTTAATTTTTTTAATTTGTAGAATTAGAATAAGATAAAAAGTAAGTTAAACCAATAAAATTGAAATTAATTTGCGTTAAAGAAGTAATATATAATATTTAGAAATAAATGAAAAAATCATACAAATTAACAATTAGTATTAATAATCTTATCGACTTCTAATATTACTATATATTTACCATTCATTATTCAATATTCGAACTATTCACTATAAATATTGCATATTTTAAATAAATAAGTATTTTTGAAAATATAAAATAAAATATTTTAATTTTTTTTTAGCAAACTATATTATACACGAAAGAAAGCATGAGTAGTGACAGAGAAAAAGCAATTATTGGCACGGCAATATCAATAGGAAAAAAACTTTTGTCCAATTACGAATTTGATTCCGATTCATCATTATCTGATAGTGAAACTGAAATTTTATTGACACTTATTTGCTCAAAAAAAAGAGAAACAAGGCTAAACGCATTGAAAGATATGTGGAAGAAACCATTCATCATTTCACTGACAAACAATTTCAGTCAAATTTTAGAATAACGCGTGAAACTTTCCAAAGTTTACTTATTATTGTTGGTCCACAAATAGAAAATACTAATACTACTGGAACTGGGAGACCAATGGTCCCAGTTGAAAAACAGTTATTAGCAACAATATGGCTATTAGCGACGCCAGATTCTTATAGGTATCCTGACATTTTTTACATTTTTTTAAAATACTTTTTCTTCATGTATTTCATTTTTTCTTTACATTGTGCTGCAACAAAATTATAGCTTTCGCATTTCATACCACAGGCAATTTTAGTCCAGATATCGTCCTTTTTAATGCAATTGGAACTAAAATCATTTTGATACTTTTTGTACAAATGTAGCAGCATTGCTCTACTTTTATCTGTCCATAAGTTTTTCATTCCTTTATCCAGAACTTTTTCATTGCTCTCTTCTAAGGGTATCAATATTATGTTCTCAGTTTCTTCTAAGATAGATGTCGAACAGCGAGATGAATTTTCTGTATCAACATTTTTTTCGGGTAACATAATTTCTATTCCATACGGTTTGAGCAAAGTTTCAATAATATATTCCGTTAAAGGAATATAAGCCATTCTGCCTGCTGTAAAATATAATTAAAAGAGGTTATGTTATTTGTAAACGTTTTTTAACAATTAACTTGAGAATTATACAAAGCAATTTTTACAAAGGAACTAGATATTAAGCATTTATTAAGCATAATTCGTTCTTTGTCGTGTCTATTAAGACACAACAAAAGGCGAAATAAATGTACCAAATTTCTAAACATATATTTTGTAACTTACTTTTATTGTCACGTAAATAAACTTCCGACATTTCTGCGTTGAAAATTGGATTTCTATCGGCACCTTCTATAACTTTATACAAAGCTTGGGATTGTGATATCTTACAATTAGACATATTTGGTACACTATTGTAATTTCACTTATTTCACGTACGGACAGAGAGGTTTCTTTCCCCTGGTACGGAATTCTTGTGTAAAATGTGAAAAGTGCGTTTCTGCGCATGACGGGTAAACTCTACCTCAGTCGCGAGCAGGGTACATAAGGAGCACCCTGGGTAATTCCTCAAGAACTTTCTAAACGCATGTGGGTAAAGGTAACTTTTCCACCATAATGTATTTTTCGACTTTCTGAACGAGTTCAGAGACATTTATACCCTGCGGGTAACGTTTACGAACGCAGCCCAGGGTACATAAGGAGCACCCTGGGTAATTCCTCAAGAACTTTCTAAACGCATGTGGGTAAAGGTAACTTTTCCACCATAATGTATTTTTCGACTTTCTGAACGAGTTCAGAGACATTTATACCCTGCGGGTAACGTTTACGAACGCAGCCGTGGAGTGCGAGTGTGGATAATTGAAGGGGGTTAGAGAGTATAGAGTGCAAGTGAGAGAGGAGAGGATAGTGTGAGGAGGAAGCGAGAAAAAAGTGAGAGGATGTGAGAATAGTTGAGGAGAAAATAAATAGAAGGAAAAGATAAGAAAGAGAGAAATAGGAGGCTGGATGACAGCTGATTGTAGGCAGGGAGTATAGAAAGTATAGAGAGGAAACAGGGTAAGGAGAGAAAAGAGAGCAGGCGCTAGGGAATATCTAGGGAATACAGAAAGTAAGAAGCAAGGAGCAGGGAAAACATAGAGGGGTAAATAAGTAGGTAGAAAGGAAAACAAGGGAAAAAGAGAATAGAGAGGAAAGTGGTAAGGAAAAGGAACATAAGAGCTTAGAAAGCAGGATAATCGGAAAGAAAGAAGGAATTAAGGGAAAGGAAAGAAGTGGCAGCTTACGAAATATAGAGGAATTGTTGAAGAGAAAAAAAGGGAGTTAGAGAAAAAGAATGGAGAGGAGGGAGCAGAAATCTTTAAGAGAAGCAACAAAATAACCAGATCACCAGAGAGAGAAGGCAAGGAGGAGGGAGAGAAAGGAGAAATTAAAAAAATATTACAAGAGATGTGGCAGGAGATGAGGGAGATGAGAGAGGAAATAAAGGAGCAGGGAGAGAAGATAAGAGGGGAGATGGAGGAGATAAGAAGAGATTAGAAGGAACAGATTGAAAAATGGAAAGAAGAGAAGGAAGAAATAAAAGAGAGCATGGAAGGTATGAAGAGGAGGATAGAGGGACTGGAAAGGAGGATGGAGGAAGGGAGGGAGAGAGAGAGAAAAGGAGAGGTTCACAGGGGGTGAAATGCAAAAAAGAGTAGGGGAGATGGAAAGGAAATGGGAGATACTAGAAAGGAGGAAAAGAAGAAAAACATAGTGATAAGAAGCCTGGAGGTTAAGGAGGGAAAAGAAGAGAAGGAGTGGAGAGTTTGATGGAGGAGATTGAGGCAAAAGTGAAAATAATGAAAATAAGGAAGAAAGGAGAAGATAGAGAGAAAGGGAGAAAGATGGTGGTAGTAGAACTGGAGAAAGAAGAACAGAAATGGGAGGTGATGGAGAAGAAGAAGAAACTGAAAGGTAGAAAAGAAAGGATAGGCATGGACCTAACGTGGAAAGAAAGGGAGGTAAGAAGGAAATTGGGAGAAATAGCATGGAAAGAAGAGAAAAGAGGGGAAAAGACATGGATAAACAATGGCAAGATAAGATAAGGAGAAAAATGGTGGAGACGGGATGAGGTAAAAGAGGTCTTGAAGAATGAGAAAGGAAACGTAAGGAAAGAAGTAATGGGGAAGAGGAGATGAGGAAAGAAGATTTGAAGAGATAGAGAAGGAGAAAAGGAAGAGGGGGACGGGTGAAAAAGGATGGAAGGTAAGGTTTTGGAATGTGGCGGGAGTAGGGAACAAGGATAAGGATTTTTGGAAGGGATTAGAGCAGTGCTCGGAATTATCTCAGCATTTCAGCCGATTCTCGTATGTCGACCCCTCCTTTCCTCCCTTTGCCGCGCGCGCTGCAGCCGCTAGGACGAGCGCGGCCGAGCCTCAGGAGCGGTACTATCCAATTATGATACGATCTTTCTCCCTTGATTTTTAAAATTTCAAAAAATGTATTAAACATAATTTTTTTAATTGTTAAATTAAACGTAGAAATATTTCAATAGATTTCCACGTCACTCGCGAGGTACTATTGCCGACGCGTTTTTTTTATAGTGGTTTCCCCAGTAGGCCTATTTAAAGAAAAATCAATGGAATAGTCCACTGTAGAGAGAAAAATAGAAAGAATTTTTAATTAAAAAATAAAAAATAAGAAAGTAAAAGACTAAATATGATAAAGATATTCTTCTTGGATTATCTCATTACATGGCATTTGAATGTTCATAATTAGATTTTCTCGGTCTTTTATGAGACTGAACAAGTGATGCAATGTCTACGTCGATACTAGATGAAGTTGTTCGCATTAGTGAAGATAATGTCTCATCATTTACAGAAGAACGTTTATCTGTTTTTAAATTTTTCATTTTTGAAAATGAGCATTTACATAAGTATGTAGATCCAAACATAGAAAAAATACGCAAACCAAAATTTCTTAAAATGGGATATATTGATTTATCTAAAATTTTAAAAAATTCTACGTCCTTCTTTGATTGGGATTTTAAAGAAAAATCATTTTGCAAAGTGCAGAGTTCCTCCTGATACTGCAAATTTTGTTCTTCAATTTGTACTGTAAGAGAATTTTCAAATAAAATTAAGTCGCTTCGAAGCGTTGAAAGATCATTGAAACGCGTATTAAATTGATTTATGATTTCATCAAGAATGTAAACATGTTGTTTAAAATTACAATTTATACCGTGTTCATTAAAAAGAATCTGATAACATGGGTAAAAATGGAAAATATCTTTTTCTAAATGATTTTTTAATAGTATTAATTTTCTTCGAAAAGAATCAATATGAGTAATTAATTGCGAAACATTTTGATTCGCTTTTTGCAACTGCAAATTTAAAATATTGAGGTGATTAGTTAAATCAGTTACAACAGCTAATTTCGAAAGAGTTTCTAAATTTTCAAAAAAAGGTTTAAATTCTTCAAATTTCAATGTTGAGAATTCTTGCAAAAAAAGGAAAATTTCTGTCCGTATTGCAAAAAATTTTTCTAAACATTGTCCTGCACTAAGCCAACGAACTTCACAATGAAGAGAAATATCCGTGTAAGCTGCGTTATGTTCAAAAAGAAATTGTTGAAATTTTCTATGATTTAGAAACTTATGACCGCCTTTAATAGAATTAATAATTTTTGTGACCGTTTGCATTGCGGTGCACAGTTTAATAACTTTTCCACATAATGCTTCTTGGTGTATAATACAATGAATGACAGGGATCTCTAAATTCCGTTGTTTTAATTGACCAAGAAAACCAATTTTTGATCCCGTCATTACTTTTGCACCACCAGTCGCGATGGCTGAGCATTTTGAAAAATCAACGTTAAAATTTTGAAGCGTTTTTTCTACGGCTTTAAAAATGTCTAGTCCTGTTGTGCCATGTAATGGGACTAAATCTAAAAGTTCCTCGATACATGAAAAATCATCCTGTACTATTCTAACAAATATACTAAGTTGACTTACGTGTCTAATATCGGTACTTTCATCAATACATATTGAAAAAAAAGAACAAGTAACCAGTAAAGATTTTAATTTTCCTTTAATATGACTCGCGATATCTTTTATTCTTGATGCTACAGTTTTATCACTGAGAGGAATACTGGCAGCATTTTCAAGAGTTAGCAAACCTCCGAATGCTTTAGTTGCCTCCATGAGGCATTTTTTTACAAATTCACCGTCAGTAAATGGTTTCGAATTATTTGCGAGAAGATAACTAATATTAAAAGACGCGGAAAAGAAATGTGAGAGCATTTTTTGAAGATGTACTTGTACTTTCATAATTATCATGAGAAATTCCGTCACTGTTTTGTTGATAAACTAATTTTAATCCCTGAATTAAATTATACTTTTCTTGGCCCATATACTTATCGTACTCATCAGAATGTTTTATATTATAATGTCTTTCTATTGACTGTTTTTGAACTAACGAAGGTTTGAAACCGTATAATAAACAAATAGTTTCATTAGATATTAAAGTAAAAAAATAATTTTGCCATGCTTCATCAAACGGTTGTTTGTATTTTTGCCCGCTGTTAGCCATGTCTTTTTAAATTAACTGAATCACTATCACTATCACTAATTGTTTACTTTACTCTGACACGTATTCAAAATACGTATTGAAGAAACTAATAATTAGTATGTCTCTCTGTAAGACTGCACGTCACAAGCGCTGTGAAATAGCGATCTGAAGCCTATGAAGACTGAAAAAACAATGCGTAAAATCACGTAACAATGTGACGATCTGTTAAAAAACATATGAAAGTCGACATTCATTGTTTCTTCCCGATTCAGCGACTTTCATCTCGATATGTTTCTTGCCTATATCTCTTCACGGGGGTACACAGTGGTTATTAAGAAATTTATTTCTTTAGAAATAAATGTATCTCAAATTGAAATCATTTTAATACTTAGGATTTACTAAGGTAACTTGTCCCTTGTGCACAAAACTTAAATTAAATTTCTTAAATTTTTAACACAAACAATTAGTAATAGTGATTCAGTTAATCTAAGAAGACATGGCTAACAGCGGGCAAAAATACAAACAACCGTTTGATGAAGCATGGCAAAAGTATTTTTTAATCATAAATTTATGTTTATATTTTTATATTTTTATTGTTTAATCATAAATTCTTCTCTCTATTTTTTTCTCTACAGTGGAATAGGCTTACTAGGGGATACCACTATAAAAAAAAACGCGTCGGCAATAGTACCTCGCGGGTGACGTGGAAATCTATTGAAATATTTCTACGTTTAATTTAACAATTAAAAAAATTATGTTTAATACATTTTTTGAAATTTTAAAAATCAAGGGAAAAAGATCGTATCATAATTGGATAGTACCGCTCCTGAGGCTCGGCCGCGCTCGTCCTAACGGCTGCAGCGCGCGCGGCAAAGGGAGGAAAGGAGGCGTCGACATACAAGAATCGGCTGAAATGCTGAGATAATTCCGAGCACTGGATTAGAGGAATGGGATGTGATAGTGTTGACAGAAACATGGATGGGAGAGAAGAGTTGGAAGAAAGTTAGAAGAATTTTGCCGAAAGGATACGTGTGGGGAGTACAAGGAGCTGGCAGAAAGAGCAAGAGGGGAAGAGCGATAGAAGGCATAATTATGGGGATAAGAAAGGAGATAGTAGAGAAAGGAAGGAAGATGGAAATGGAAAAGGAAGGTTTTGCGATAGGAAGAGTAAAGGTGGGGGGGAGAAAGATGGAGGGTGATAGGAATATATGCAGAAGGAATAGAGAAAGTATGTAAAGAAATGGAACAGTGGACAGAGGAAAAAGAGAAGGAGGTTTACACGATAATAGGAGAAGATTTTAATGCGAGGACG